CGGCGGCCCGTGACCTGCTGTCCCCGGGGAGGGGCCGCTCAGCACCCGAGCTGCGTGTGGCCGCAGCAGGACAAGGGGACTGCGGTGGGAGTGCCACAGGCTGCTGAACTTGTCTCTTCCTTCAGAACCAGAGCACCAGTGGGCCCTGTGGGCAAGGCTGTGCTTTACTCAGCTCTGCTCTTTGCTGACATTTCATCTACGGCTCACAAATCCCCCAAGCCTGTGCTCAAATCCCTGTGCTGTGTCGCTATTCCATCAAGCAAACCTTACATGGGCGTTAAAGAGCAGTAACTTGAATAACAGAACAGACAAAACAGGGAGGGGGTGTAGTCACAGCTTTAAATACATTTATTAGTAAGATATCAGCTCCCTGCAGCACTCCTGAAGCCAAATCCACCACAGCCTCCCTGCTGAAGCTGCTCTGGAAGCACCTGCACCATCATGCAGCCTTGGCTCACTCTCTGCTCACAGGTAGGGCTGGTCCTTGGAAATCTCCCACTTCCTAAGTGGTGGTCCTGGTGTCACTGCTTTTTTCTGCGTCGTTGTCACTGCAGAGTCTGAACTGCGGCAGAGGAAGGAAGAGAGAGGAGAGGTTTTAGTAACTCTATGGAAATCACACTCAGGTTTAATCAGTCCAGGTTGGAGTAGTCCTGGAGGGGTCTGTTAGTCACAGTCCCAGAATGGTTTGGGTTGGGTTGGAAGGGACATTGAAGATGTCCACGGGCAGGGACACACTCCACTAGCCCAGGTTGCTCCAAGCCCTGCCCAACCTGGTCCTGGACAATTCCAGGGATGGGGCAGCCACAGCTGCTCTGGAAAACCTGTGCTGGGGCCTCCCCACCCTCACAGGGGAGAACTCCTTCCCAATATCCCATCTAATCCTGCCCTCTGGCAATGGGAAGCCATTCCCCCTTGTCCTGTCCCTTCAGGCCTTGTCCCAAGTCCCTCTCCAGCTCTCCTGGAGCCTCTTGATGCCCTGGAAGGGGGTCTCGGGTCTCCCCAGAGCCTTTTCTTCTCCAGGTGAACCCCCCCAGCTCTCCCACCTGTCTCCAGAGCAGAGGGGCTCCAGCCTTTGATGCATCATTGTGGCCTCCTCTGGGCTTGCTTCAATACATCTACATCTTTCTTGGATGCCCCAGAGCTGGACACAGGCACTCCAGAGCACAGTAACTGAACTTCCTGCCACCTCATTTATTCGCAAACAGACACCGACACAAACAATTACTTCCACGTTCTTCTACCAACCTGGGTAACTCTGCACCACGCTCCTGGTGTAAATGAGGGCTGAGCCCGCTCAGCAGCGACAGCACCGCCCAGGCCAGACCTACCTGCCGGGCTGTGTCCCTGCA